ATGCTTCGGGACGGGAAATATGTGAAACGGGGTGTCTCCGGTGCGGAAAAAAGTAGGACCTATGCTTCGGGACGGGAAATATGTGAAAAGGAGGTCTCCGGTGCGGAAAAAAGTAGGACCTATGCACTAGACGGGAGATATGCGAAAAGGGGGGTCTCGCGGAAATTTTGAGGTGAAAAGGTGGTCATAACCGCGGCCCATACGGTGACATACCTACCATGCAATATATACGGAGTGCCTATAACAGCAGGAACGTGTAATATTTTTTTTATGCTGAAGTAAGTCTAAATTTCTCTTCATTTATTAATTTCTCGATTTCCTTGTGAGATGATCGTGCAAATAAAAACATATTATTGTGGCAATGTGCTACTGAGAATATACATTTTAAGAAGGCAACGTTTCACTTATTTTGCTGTACAGTCAGGAAAGAAGATATTATTCTTTTTATGAACTTTACACTGTTTGTGTTTATTATATTGTTGTTTTGTACTTTATTTATTTATATTGCGAGTACGCGAGCGTGTACGCACGTTTACCTGCGGGCATGGTACGCAGAACCCCCCTGAAAAAAAAAAAACTATCGGCCCTATTACTACTACACTTAGGTATTTCATGTAAATACGAGGCTTCCCAGACCCCGAATAATTTGCCGTGCTTCAGAAATACCGGATCTCTTGGACCGCGCATTTCCTCGTGTGAACGCTAAAGCCTAGGACACACTGCGCGTTTTTTACGCTGGCCGCTTGCGATCGATAAATACGGTGCCGGGTCCGCGCGGTGTGTCCGGTCTCACGGCAGCATATTTCGCTCGCGATCGCATACGCCCGGCGCATCGCTCGTATTCAACATGTTGAATATTTACGCCCGGTTTTCGATCGCGTGCGTACAAATACGACATTGTGTCCACATGTTCGCGCGCGATTTCTTTCAACAGCCAATCAAGTTTAGTAAAGCAGTCTCATGATGCATAAAATAACAGCGTAAACACAAGAAGTGTGAACTATGCAGAAGGAGGATGATTTGGCCATTTTATGGTCAGAGAACTCGTGTCTGTATTACATACAGTCTGTGACTCTGTAGAGTATCGCAATCGAGTTGCGAAGGAAATAGCATTAAATGCTATAGCGCAACTACTGGAGATGACTGGTAATTTCACCCTGTATAAATAGCTCAATAAATCGAATTATTTTCATTGTTTAATTGACGATTTCGTATGGCAGTGTTGTGCATATAAGTATGACAACAGCCCTTAATTACTTATATATTATTTATAGATGGGCTATTTGTAGAATTTTAGCAAATTTGATTTGAATTCTATGCACAACCTCCCGCCTAACACACACTGTTCTGACATTTATTTTCACCCGTTACTGTACATGCTACGCGTACATGTACATGTACATGTAACACGGCCAGCGTACAAAATCACAGTGTGTGTCCAGCTGTACGCGCAACTCGTACGGCGTTCTAACCGTATTTCTGGAGCCGCGAATCAGCGTGTGAACGCTCGGCCGCGTATTTGTCTCAGATACGGTATTTCGCAAATACCGTATTTCTGGAGCCGCGAATCAGCGTGTGAACGCTCGGCCGCGTATTTGTCTCAGATACGGTATTTCGCAAATCCGGTATTTCATAAATACGAGGTCTCGTGTGAACGAGGCTATTACCAAGTATTCTGAATATCTAAGCAATTATCACCAATAAATTCAGAATGCGTATAGAATAACAAAAATAGGTTTGTTTACATGCATGTCATTTCATTTTATTCTTGCAATTGGTTCATTTAGCAATGATGTCTACAGACATATTCTAAGGGTCAATAACGACCATAATTGCAATTACTGAATTATGCAATGGTCAAACCTTATAAAACAATAAAAAATTTCATTCAGATATGAATATATAGACCAATTTTAGCATCAAAGTTATAGTTTGTAATCACAACAACCAAATACTTAATTCATATCTTCTATACCAAATTACTTATGAATATTTGATATTTCGATGCTTCGATTATAAAAAATACAATTATAGCAAAAAGATACTAGAATGCACACACAAAAATACAGACCTCTATATAGCATCGTTCTTAAAAGTAAAACTATGAAATATTACAACCGATCTTGATAATCAACGTAATAAAACCTAAAAAAGCTCAAATATACATTCGAAACAACAACTGCAGATATAAAATGCTAACCACAAAGCAAATCAAATAATAGAATAGTTGAAGTACCTTGTACAGCAATATTACGTTTAGACACGCCCGAGTTGGAAGCCTAGATGCTCTCCCTGAACAGAGAGCTTCACTATAACGCCTCCCCTCATGCTATCAACAAGTTTAGTGTCAGACACCATGAGGAGTCAGGTTGGAACGTGAGATGAACCATAGATATTATTATGATATATGCAAATACATGTACGTGTATACATCTACGGATGGGCAGAGTAGTCCCTCAATAATGCTACAGTAGGCCGTGCGCGTGGAGGGTGGAGTGGGAGGTTTAAAGAGAGAAAATTTGGCATTTTAGTGTAAACAAAAATGCCAAACTAAGGGTTTTGTCAGGCGTGCGTGTGGACAAGTACGTGTGATCAGATCGCAGTGGATGGCTAATGGCGTGTTACGATGTACCACTCTAACGTGGGAGGCATACTGACACAGAAAGACTAAAATAGCTGGCAGTGTTACAACAAAATATCACGTGCCAAAGGGAATGAACGAGGGTAGAAAGATAAGGCACGATTCCGCATTCGTGCACAAGCTAATCAGCACAGGGGACACGTCCAGGCCCAGGCCACAGGCCCAAGCCACAGGCCCAGCCCAAGCTATTCATACATGCATATCTGTAGAAATAAGACAAGACTGGGTTCGATAGACGAGATAAATAGCCAAAATAAAAGTCTAGCTCAGAAGAAACACAGATGTGCTCAAGCTAATTTAAATCTGCTAGGTGTAACACCCAAAAGTGTTAGAACGAGGCATGCTTAACAAACTAGGGGCCATACTGACATTTTGTTTAAAAAAACCAATAAACACACACGAGATGCCTCATTTAAAATGGTTTAGGAAAGTACCTTATATAAAAGGTATACCTGTAGCATCACCTCACTGAACTGCGAAGAGCGGGGTATTTCAAAATCACAGGTAAAATTATATAAAATGCTTGTCTGAAGATATTATTAGATCTTTAAATATTCCCACAGGATTCTACGGTCTTGTAGTGACATTAGTTGAGGCTAGTACTGCTTCAAGAAAAAAATATTAATCACCACAACACATTCATGATTGTAGATATTGGCTGCATATGAATTGTTCACAGGAGTGATTTTTGCAGTTCTGAATACAATCAAAGTGGAACGATACTCTAAGAGTTTAAGAGTACATGATAATAAATGTACAAAAAAATGCATGTATATACTATATTTTATATCTGTATTTGTATTTTATATCTTATATAGGATATAAAATACAAATACAGATATAAAATATAGTATATACATACATTTTTCTGTTACCAGAAATTCACTTCTATTATTACTACATTGAGGCCAGTTAAATTAGGTGCTGCTATGACACGACACAACAGTGCTACCACCCTAATTAAGTTGCACCCTTGAATTGTTAATTGTACGTTTTAGATCGGGAGCTAATCGCAAAAGTGCAATTATATTTACACTTAACTGGTGTTGAACCAAATGACATTTTATTAACGATAAACACATGCATAATTTAATTTAAACTAATAGTGAAATATAAGATATTACAACAATTTGTCTGTTAAATTAACAAATAAGAAACAGCCTTGGGCTGTAGCCTGTAGCTAAAGAGTTGCATAGCGCAACTTCGTTCATGGAGGTACCTGTTGTTGTGCCAATGGCATCGTAAGCAAATAAGCATTGGCAGGTTTAAAAAAATTATAAATATTTCTAGTTACAGTATGCAATCTAATATCCGAAAGTCTGAAAACCGAAAAGCTCCGAAAACCGAACTGTCCTACCATTGCGAAATACGAAAAATTCCGAATTCCGAAACGTGTCTGGTCCCAAGGGTTTCATATAATAGATTGTGTACTGTAATATTGAACCTCGACACTTGCTATCAAACTAGCTGCAGCTGACCATGGTCAGATAAACTAGATACCCAAATTACCCAATCGTCTATTAAACCTGCCCTACGTGGTTGTGATATGTTACTGTAGATAATATAACGTGCAGATATTGCACAACAACATAACTAGCATGCTATTATCTAAACGGTGGTTCACAGACCTTTTTGGCCAGGGGAAACACTGTATATAATATGTATACAGCTATGTTCACAATAAAACTAATACATGAATACAGTGTCTTGATATTTGGTGTTACAGTTCATTGACTATTAATAAAAACATGAACATATCTATACAATGTAATAGTATACAGATATATTCAGGAAAAAAACTAATAACCGAATTCACTGTTTTAATATCCCATTTCATCCAAGCATTAATAACTCACATTGAACAATAGCAATCATTGTGACTCATCAGGAATTCATGAGGAAAACTTCTCTCCAATAACTTCCGAGATTTTCTTCTGTTTATCTGTAAGAGATCCCAATAAATAATATTAATCTGGTTGTCAAGTAAAACATAAATATGTAGTAAATAAGTGTATTATGAGGCTGGACATATAAATTTATTAATTTGAACCCCTCTAGTCAATATATTCTCCACTGTCATGGACAGTGGAGAAAGTAAGGATTACTTTAGAGTTTAAAACATGGAACGAGGCAAAAAGAGCTGCTAAAGATAGAACGTTATTGAGAAATTTGATTTCCAGCCCTATTCTCCACAAGGAGAGAAGGAACCAAGAAGAAGTCAATATATAGGGTCTCCTGAAGCAACCCCACAGCACACCATCTAGTCCATTAACATAAAAACTCCACACAAAGCTGGTCCAATGAAGTTTTGGGTGGTAGACAAGTTATACTTGGGGCTTTCACAGGGGTGGTCCAGAGTTGGGAGTCAAAGTGATTAGAGTTTTTAGGCAATTTTTAAGTGTTTGATCCCTTACCTCAGTACGTGAACCACATATAACAACAACGACTGGTTATTTTTATGTACATTGCAGGCAGTAAATGTTTAGGGTGAGAACCAAATGTGATCTCAAGGTAATTTTTTTAGCAGGCATCATAGGACCTTTTAGGTGGGGCTGGGCCCTAGGCAGCCATCTAGTTTGCCTATATCACTAGCCAGTACTGACTCCATTATTACGTTAATTGCAAATTTTAACCCATCACCACATCACATTGCCTATATATATATCAGGAGTCTATCAATTGATGGACTCCTATATATATGCATATTGTTACATTTTTCTGGCAAAGACCCTCCCTGGAAAAATATAACATGAAAAGAAGTCTCCATCTACACTAGAAGATTCCACCATGCGCCAGCTTGTCCTAGTTGATGTTGTTGTGTCATACAAAATAGCATAAACAAACATGCACAGTTGAACCTTTAGTCTTATCAGGTAATTTTGTTTGTAATAGCTTATTTGGGTTAAGACTATGCCAGGGGTCGAAATTAGCGGTATCCCGATATCCGCGGGATAGTAGATTCTTGTGTTGGATACCAGGGGGCCGTTTCACGAAGCTATCGTAAAAACGCCATCTTAAGGATATCCTTAGAATTCTTGTACGAGAGCCTAACGCTGTCCTAAACGTCCCTCGTTAAAGTGTTTCACGAAACTTATGCCGGTGCGTTGTTAGACGGTCCTTAAAATTCAGCTGTAACGATGTTGCTGGCGGCATAGACTGGTATCCTATCTCTACACCTTGCTACTAGATAGTCTATATATAGAGACATGCAGTGGCGTATCTAGGGGGGGGGGGCAAGGGGGGCACGTGCCCCAGGCGCCATG